AAAACCAGGAAACCCACATTGGTACAATGTGTGTGCAGACTTCCATGTTACTTTATCATGATTGTAAATTTGTATAACCCTGACTGTAATCACAAAACAGAACTATTCCATCAGTACAAAGATCTCCCTCATGCTATTCCTTTACAGTTACATTCTCCTCCTCCCCACTGGCCCTCACCTCTGGCAAATACTAATCAGTTCTCTATCTCTACAGTTTTTCAATTTTAAGAGCATTAATCATATTACTTATGACCCTTTCAGATTTTTTTTTGAGACAGAGTCTCACTATGTCACCCTTGGTAGAGTGCCGTGGCGTCACAGCTCACAGCAATCTCGAACTCTTGGGCTTAAGTGATTCTCTTGCCTCAGCCTCCCAAGAAGCTAGGACCACAGGTGCCCTCCACAATGCCCGGCTATTTGTTGTTGTTGTTGTTGTCATTGTTGTTTAGCTGGCCCAGGCTGGGTTCAAACCTGCTACCCTCAGTGTATGTGGCTGGCGTTGTAACTACTGTGCTGTGGGCACCAAGCCTCCTTTCAGATTTTTGTTTAACTTGTATAATGCCTTGAGATCCATTCAAGTTGTTGTACATATCAATAGTTAGTTACTTTTTAGTACTGAGTTGTATTTTACAGTACAGATGTGCCACAGTTGTTTTACCTATTGTAGGACATTTTGTTTTATTCCAGTATCTGCCTATTACAAATAAAGCTATGAATAATCATGTGCCAGTGTTTTTTTATTTTTTTTTGCAGTTTTTGGCTGGGTCTGGGTTTGAACCCGCCACCTCTGGTATATGGGGCCGGTGCCCTACTCCTTTGAGCCATAGGTGCCACCCTCATGTGCCAGTTTTTATATGGACAAACATTTCATTTCTCTGGGATAAATGTCTAGGAATAGGATTGCTGGGTCATATGGTAAGTAAATGTTTAGTTTTTTGTTTGTTTGTTTGTTTGTTTGCTGTTGCAGTTTTTTTGGTCAGGGCTGGGTTTGAACCTGCCACCTCCAGTATATAGGGCTGGTGCGCCTACTCCTTGAGTCATAGGCGCTGCCTATAAATGTTTAGTTTTTAAAGAAACTACCAAATTGTTTTCCACGTTGGCGGTATCATTTTACATTACCACTAGCTATGTATGAGATATAAAGTTTCTAAGATTTGACATTGTCACTATTTTTTGTTAGCTTCTAACACAGGGGTCCTCAAACTTTTTAAACAGGGGGCCAGTTCACTGTCCCTCAGACCTTGGGAGGGCTGGACTGTGGGCCCCAGAACGAGTTGGCTGCTAAGCAGGACAGGCAGTGGCAGCAAAAACACCCAGCAGGCCAGATAAATGTCCTAGGTGGGCTGCGTGTGGCCCGTGGCTGTAGTTTAAGGACCCCTGTTCTAACACAATTTTAAAAGTCAGCAATAGTTATTTGGTTTTACTGATTACAGCTTTTGACATTTATTGAGGTAACTTTCATTGTATCTTTTATTGGATCTATTGATGAATTATATTATTTCACATTTAAATATACTTTTTTTTTTTTGGAGACAGAGTCTCACTTGGTCACTCTTGGTAGAGTGCTGTGGCATCACAGCTTACAGCAACCTCAAACTCCTGGGCTTAAGCGATTCTCTTGCCTCAGCCTCCCAAGTAGCTGGGACTATAGGCACCTGCTACAATGCCCAGCTATTTTTAGAGATGAGGTCTCACTCTGGTTCAGGCTGGTCTCAAACCTATGAGCTCAGGCAATCCACCCATCTTGACCTCCCAAGTGCTGAGATTACAGGCGTGAGCCACTGTGCCTGGCTACATATATGTTTTAAATGGTAAAAATATGAAAAAGTTTAAAGGGAAAGGTAAATCGCCTACTATCCTATCACAGAGCTTACCTCCCAGAAGCAATCACTTTACCTGTTTCTTGACTTTTAATATAGAGACAATAGCTATTTTGAGAGACTGGGTCTTGCTCTAGCTCAGGCTGGTCTTGAACCCCTGAGCTCAGGTAATCCACCTGCTTTGGCCTCCCAGAGTGTAGGATTATAGATGTGATGTATCTTGTATTTTCACTTAATATCTTAGAGACCATTCCATACCAGCACATAGAAATCTACTTCATTTTTAACAGCTACATAGTATTCCAGTAAGGAGTATCCCAATTCAATCAATCAGTTCTTTTTTTTGATAGACATTTAGGCTGTTTCCATATTTTGGTAATTACTGGTAATGTTATAGTGAATACTCGAGTACACTGATATTTGTGCCCCCATGTAAGCACTAATATAGGATACATTCCTAGTAGTGGACTTGCAAGTTAAAAGTCCAAGTAGTAGACTTTTAAGTATAGTATAAGGCTGGGCACAGTGGCTCATGCCTGTAATCCCAGCATTCTGGGAGGCAGAGGTGGGGGGACTGCCTGAGCTCAGGTGTTTGAGACCAGCCTGAGCAAGAGCAAGATCCATCTTTATTTTTTTTATTTTTGAGACAGAGCCTTAAGTTGTCACCCTCAGTAGAGTGCCATGGCGTCACAGCTCACTTCAACCTCCAACTCCTGGGCTTAAGTGATTCTCTTGCCTCAGCCTCCCAAGTAGCTGGGACTACAGGTGCCCACCAGAACGCCTAGCTATTTTTTGGTTGTAGTTGTCATTGTTTGGCAGGCCCAGGCTGGATTCGAACCCTCCAGCTCTGGTGTGTGTGGCTGGTGCCTTAGCTGCTTGAGCTACAGGCGCCAAGCTGACAGCCCATCTTTAAAAATAGCCAGATATTGTGGAGAGAGCCTGTAGTCCCAGTTACTTGGGAGGCTGAGGCAAGAGAATCACTTGAGGGCTGCTCAAAGGAGTAGGGAGCCGGCACTATGTGCCTGAGGTGGCAGGTTCAAACCCAGACCCAGTCAAAAATTGCAAAAAAAAAAAAAAAAAAAAAAAGACTCACTTGAGCCCAAGTGATTTTGAGGTTGCTGTGAGCTATGATGCTAGGGCACTTTACCAAAGGCAACAAAGTGAAACTGTCTCAAAAAAAAAAAAAGTATAATATACACATTTAAGTTGCAATAGTTGTTGCCACATTGCCTTGAGCTAAACTTTCCTACCAACAATGAGTACATTTTTCCACAACATGTATCTTTTCCAATCTGATATCTACAAAATAGTATTTCACGTTCATTTAAATTTGCATTTCTCCTGTGATGAAGTAGTTAAGTATATTTTCATTTGCTTAAAAGCACATGTATTACTTTTCTGTTAACTGAGAGTTCATATCCTTTGCCAATTAATGTATTGTTTTAAATCAATGTTAAACAATAAAAATGCTACTTTCCTATTTTCATCTGCTCAAGAATATCCTTGGAGGCAGAGTCTCCCTCAGACAGGTGTCTAGGGTCCTCCATAATCACACCACTCCCTCTTCTAACAAATAACTGTCTCTGTCCTAGCACCACTGTCTGTTCCCAAGGAAGGGCTCCTTTCTGGTCTCCTCAATGTCTCACACCCTTCCACAATCCTGTGCTTGCACTCCCACCCTTTCCCTTTAGGGTCCAGCCGTTAACTCCAGCTGGAGCACTCCTGTGTCCCTGGGAGGCTTATTTGACAGAGTCCAGCTTCCTGCTGTGTGTGTGTGTGTGTGTGTGTGTTGGAGGGTCTGAGTGTGGAGTATGTTCCATTCACTCATCCTGCATTTATTGAATGCATACCTGAGTCTGACTGTTCCCGGTGTTGGGATAAGGCAGTGTACGACACAGACCAAGGCCCCTCCTCTCATCTGGCTGACGTTTAGTGTGGAAAGTTGGAACTAACAGATCACAAACAAAACAATAAAAACACAACGTCAATAAATGCAAACAAGTAATGGGATAGAGAGCAAAGGGAGGAGAGGCAGGATCTTTCTAGCACAAAGGGGCCAGGGAGGGCTCTTTGGGAGCTGAGATGTGAGCAAAGACCTGAACATGAGAAGAGCCTTCCAGAGCCCTCAGGAGAGGCAGCGCCTGGCCAACCGCTCTTTGCTGCTCTTCCAAAGATGGACAAGATGCCATCCAGCCCTCAACACTCCTTCCTTCTGTTTTTTGACAGGAATTGAAGGCAGAAGCCTCCCAACCTTGCAACTTCAGGGGTGTGTGTGGCCTGTGAGAGGAGGACTACAGTCTCCTGCTTCATATCCCTGATGCAAACTTGGGGAAACGGAGTAGGCATGCTCGGCCTGGCATTAACAGAGCTCGTACTACATGCCAGGGTCCAGTTAAACACTTTACACCGCGGTTACGCCGTTTAATCTACATGACAATCCCAAGTAGACTTTATTATTAACAGGAGGAGTAACCGAGGCTGGAACTATGGCAGTCACCTGTTCAGTGTTACTTGGTTCCTATGGAATTGCAGTACCTGGCTGGGGAAGTTGTGCGGCGGGGATCGGATGGGGTTTGCCGCCGTCGGAGTGAGCGCGCTTGCAGGAGTTCGTCCAGTCCAGCCGCGGGCCCAACGGCTTCCCGGACACCCCCGCCGGCGGGTCTCCAGCCCCGCCCGGGTCTCAGGGGCAAAGGGGCGAGCCCCGGCTAGCGGGCTGGGGGAGGGGAAGACGCAGGGACAAAGGCCGCAGGCACCGCGCTCCGGCCCGCGGGTGCGGCGCCAAACTTGGGGCACCGGGACCTGGCGGGACGGTCGAACCTCGGGGAGCCTGCGCCGCGATGGAGCACCCCGCGACGC